TACAGGCATTCCTTGAATCTAGTCCCTTCCTGAAAATCTGTTGAATGGCAGAAGGCTGTCGTCCATTAATTAAACGGGGAAAATTACGGTGTTTTTAGACATCAAAGAAACTTCAACCAATTTCCTCAAATATCATTACAGTACTCTTAAATATTTATGTGACAATCCACCAAGAATTTTTTTTCTTTACACCAAGAATTTTTAATTTAAATAAGAAGCATTTAAAACAGTAATGACCTAAGTTTTAATACGTTAATGCTCACTAGTGGATATTTGACGTGCTGTAATACTATGGTATTAGTATTTGCTTCTGTACTGCAAGTGAAGATACACTGTTACAGATAAACGGTACAGAAGTGTGCCAAGATGATTCTGAAATTGGACCCCAGTTGGTGGTGCCCCAGGTACCCGGAGGAAGCAAATGCTGGGACCCATGACAGCCAGATCTTTAGGGCAGGGCAGGAAAAAATGAGAACAGTGAGGCAGCACGTTTGGAAAGAGCCAGAACTAGCTGGGAACTAGCTGGGACCCTATGATGCAGAGCGCTTTACTTCCTGCTACCTGCACATGCAGGTTCCTTTTAACAAGTTTGTGATTCAGACAGTAAATTTGGGATAGAAATGTTTCCAGGTATTTTTAGCACATGTTTGGGTGGCGAGGGTTCAAGTAATGAGGCTGCTGCCGCTGGAGCTGATGTGCCTCGTGGGGAAAGTCAATGCTAAACGCGGGGAAGGGCCGGAGAGTGCCGGGGCGGACGAGGGCAGCGGACCATCTGCAGCGGCAGGGCAGGTCTGCTGAATTTATGCAAAGACGCTGAGGGAGGTGGGGGCTCGCTCATGTCCAGAAGAAGAGCCTTCCAGGCAGAGGTGAGAGCGGCTCGAGGCCTGGCAGGCGAACGTCTGGCTTCCCTGGCAGAATCGAGAGGAGGGTGGACAGGCGTGAGAGGGACGGGAGGGGCAGGGGGTGTGCAGAGAATGGCGAGGTCTCTGGTTCTCGTGCTGTGTGGATTGGAGGGTTTTGAGAAGAGAATGAGCGGATACTTTGGCTGCTGAGTAGGAAGGGGAGGGATGGGGAAGACAGCAGGCCGTGGCAACGTTCAGCAAGAGATGAGGGTGGCGCCAGTGTCGTCTCGAGCAACTGGCAGAGTGAGTTGCCGTTCGGTGGGGTAGGAAGACCGTGGGTGAAGCAGATTTGGAGGAAAAGATCCAAAATTCAGTTCCTTATGTTCTGTGTGAGATGCCTGTTAAACTTCCAAGAGGAGATGTTTGGCGTGCGGGCGAAGGTCTGGGGCAGAGGCGTGCTTTGGGGAGGCATCGGAAGGCGCAGACCGAGACTGTGGGCTGAGTGCGTGTGCAGAAGAGAACGGGGCCTCCCCGAGCGCGGGATTCCAGGCCTGAGCCACCGCGCCCAGCCGGGAGACGGTTTTTCTTTTCACGATGACAGAAGTAACAGCATTTTGCTGATGAGAGCGATCCAGATTGGGGAGGAGAGTTGATTACGTAAGAGGAAAGAACGGTTGGAGCAGTGTCTTGAGTAGGTGAGAAGGCTGAGATGAGCGCCAAGTGGCATGCTTGACTTCGGCTAGGCGCAGGGGCGCTCACGAGCGTGACGCGGGGGAATGGCAGGGAGACGGGCCAGCCATCGGGTCGACGTGGGAGCTGTTTAGCTTTCGCGTGGGGCAGGAATCGGCTGTCAGCACAGGTGAGAGGAGGGGTGCGGTGTTGGAGCTGTAAGGGAAAGTGGAAGGCGTGAAACCGTCACCTGGTAGCAGAGTGCAAGAGTGAGAGACGTGGGGGATCTAGCACGGTTACCAGGTGGCACTCGAGGCCACCTCAGATTTGGGTCGTAAATTTACAGTCAGACCAGTAGCCTGCTTCTGTTTCTCCCCGGGGCATTAGCCGCTGGTGCAGCAGGAGCTCAGTCAGGTTGTAATTTATCGAATGGGCACAGAGAGCAGGGCAGGCACCGAAGCCGGGCGAGAGGGAAGAGGGGCCGTGGACAGCAGGCCTGGCGCCGCGAAGGATCATCGCAGCTGTGAACTGGAGAGAGTGAGCTAGAAGGAGGGGAGGTGGTCACCAGGGAGTGGGCGCGTGACACCGAGGGTAGGCATTGGCTGCCCCTGGTGAGGTCCAGAGTGGACGAGGGTGAGTGGCTGAGGTGAGTGTGAACTAGGGGACCTAGAGGCCAGGACGTTAGAAAGAGCAGATGTCGAAACCACGAAGACTTACGCCCAGAGCAGTGCTGAGCAACAGTGAGGCCGGCAGGAGCTAAAATCAGGAAACGAGGCCTGGCGTGTGGCTCATGCCTATAATCCCAGCACTTTGGGAGGCTGAGGCTGGAGGATCGCTTGAGGTCAGGAGTTCGAGACCAGCCTCAGCAACACAGTGAGACCCCATCTCTACAAAAAATACAAAACTTAGCTGGACACAGTAGCACACACCTGTAGTCCCAGCTGCTTGGAAGGCTGAGGCAGGAGGATCGCTTGAGCCCAGGAGCTATGATGATGCCACTGCACTGTAGCCCAGGTGACAGATTGAGACCCTGTCTCAAAAAAAAAAAGTGTGGTACAGGTTGAGGGTCCCTTATCCGAAATGCTTGGGACCAGAAGTGTTTTAGATTTCAGGTTTTTTTAGATTTTGGAATATTTGCATATACGTAATGAGATATCTTGGGGATGTAACCCAAGTCTAGTTGTGAAATTCATTTATGTTTCATATACACCTTGTATACATAGCCTGAAGGTAATTTTGTGCAATACTTTTAATAATTTTGTGCATGGAACAGTTTTGACCGCAACCCATCACATGAGGTCAGGTGTGAAATTTTCCGCTTACAGTGTCGCGTTGGCAGTCAGTTTCAGATTTTGGAGTGTTTCGGATTTTCAGATTAGGAAGGCTCAGTCTGTACATTCACAGGACAGAATTCGACTCGGCAGTAAGGAGTGAACTGCTGATAAACACAGCAACCTGTCTGAGCCTCAGACACGTCGTGCTGGGCAAAGGAAGCCCGACCAGAGTGGCACACGCTGTGTGATTCCGTTTACGTGACGTTTTAGAGCAGGCCAAACTAGTCTGCAGGGAAAGAGAGGAGAACAGTGCTTGCCTGCGTTTGTCACCTCATCCTCAGCCAGTCACGTGGACCTGAGATCTGGACACTGCGCTGTGTTTAAACCTCAGTTTTAAAAACGTGCTGTGTACGTATTTACTGACATGCCTCAGACCCTCCTGCTCTTCTCTTTTTGCAGCTTAAGAGTAGTTTAGCCCAACGTTATTTTTTAGAGCTAGATTTATTTGTGTTCGTCATACTGCGATTTCTTCCGTAGAAAACAATCTGTCACTTACAATTTTCTGAGTTTAATACGCAACCTGTGATTAGCAGCAGGTGCTACCACGCGCGCTTACCCGTATCAGTTTGGCCCTAGATTTACTCCTGTTCCACCTACTCCCATCCCAGACAGCCCACAGCACACACTGCACTCACGTCAAGCACACTCTTTCTACACAGGTGTGCCACGTACAGGTATGACGTGCCCTCGGAAGTACACGTGCGTGTGTGCCCTGATCATCAACCAGTAGCCTTCCGAGTACTTTTAATTTCTACTCACAAGTATCAGCTGTGCGGCTCTTTGACGCCACTGTTTCCAGGAACACCAGAGCCACACGCACGTACGGCCTGTGTATTTCAGCGTGGGGCGGAGGCGCACGGGTGGGGACCTGTAGCACGAAGCCACGGAGCCTCAGGTGTTTGTAGAACGGAGCCCTGGATTCGGAAGAGCTGCCCGTGAGCTTCGACCCAGCTGTTGGACCGTGTGACTGAAGCTTTCTAAGAAACCGTGTTGTTGAGATAATTAAACACGATAGCTACTCTCGAACTTTTGGCCCTAGGACCCCCTCACGAAAATTATTATGGACCCCCAAAGAGCTTTTGTTTATGTGGGTTGTATCTAGCAATTGTTACAATAATAAACCTATTACATGTTAACAGAATCACAAATTTTTGCAAAAAATAACTGAATTTTCAAAAATTAAAAAAAAAAGTGGATCATTTTATATTTTTGCAATTCTCTTTAGCATCTGCTGGATTCCCCCAGCTGCTTCAGCGCTCAGTGTTTTGCGACGTCCCACGTAATGTAGCCTCTGGAAACTCCACGGAGAGAGAGGGGGGCGAAGGTTGTCCCAGCGTTGTCACGGAAACAGTTTGACCTGCAGAGCCCTTGGAAGACCCGCTGCCTCCCACGAAAGCGAGGAGTGAGCGCGCTCTCCGTGGGGCTGAGGGGGCTCTTTCCTCCAGTCCCGTGCTTAATGGCACAGGTCATGGTCTCTTGGAAAACAAATAAACCGTGTGCATCTCTGACTTTAATTCATATGGGGAAACTTTTAATTTTCTTTTAAAAAAATTTAAGGACGTAGGGCTTGGGTTATGTGGATTTTTAGACAAATTCATTCCACAGCATTTATTTACTGTCTATGATGCGCCAGAATTCTTAGCAAACAAGATACATCTGTCTCTCGAAGCTCGCGGTGAGTGAGAGACGTAGCTGGCAGAAACAGAGTGTCTAACCCATGTGTCAGGTCAGAAGAGTGGGAGCGGAAAGGGAAGGTTCCTGGGAGAAAAATCTCATCCAAGCTGAGACCTGAAAGGCAAGTTGTTTAGCTGTGCACAGAAGCAAAAAAGCATCCGAGAGGAGAAGGAAAGCACGTTCAAAGGCCCAGGGGTGAGGCCATGCAGCTGGAGTCAGGGCAAGGAAGGGAGGCCACACAGGCAAGGAGGTCACACGTGCCTGGGGGTGACGCTGCCTGCCTCTTGCCCAGGAGTGCTGGGAAACACCTGCAAAGACAGATCGTTTTCCTGCGAAAACCCTTTCTGAACCCTACAGCATAATGCAGTCAAATCACACCTACGCCGGTGGCTTGGTTCAGATAAATACAACAAAGACTGATGAAATATTTGGACTGGGAAGAATGTTTGTAGGTTTAGAAATAGTTTGCAAACATAGTGTTTCTTTTGGTCTGATTTTTTTTTTTTTTTTTGAGACAGAGTCTCACTGTGTTGCCCGGGCTAGAGTGCCGTGGCGTCATCCTAGCTCACAGCAACCTCAAACTCCTGGGCTCAAGCGATCCTCCTGCCTCAGCCTCCCAAGTAGCTGGGACTACAGGCATGCGCCACCATGCCCGGCTAATGTTTTCTATATATTTTTAGTTGTCCAGTTAATTTCTTTCTATTTTTAGTAGAGACGGGGTCTCGCTCTTGCTCAGGCTGGTTTCGAACTCCTGAGCTCAAGCGATCCGCCCGCCTCGGCCTCCCAGAGAGCTAGGATTACAGGCGTGAGCCACCGCGCCCAGCCTGGCCTGATTTTTGATGACATAACTTTGACAGGTTTTTTTCTTGGTTTCAGGGTTCAAAAAGGATTCTTCGTTCCAACGAGATCATCCTTCCAGCTAGTGGACTGGTGGAAACAGAGCTCCAGTTAACCTTCTCCCTCCAGGTGAGACTCTGCTGAGTCTTAGGTCCCTAATATGCCACGTCCAGTCTAGCCCCCAAGCAGCCCTCCAACCGGGAGACCGTTTTATCCGAGAGCAGCCGTTGCCCAACTTGGGCGGGAGTAGACAGAAGTCACCCAGAGGTTGACAGCTGGCCAGAAAGGACAAGGCGGTCCCTTACCAGCCACAGTCGGGCTCATCCTTTCCCTGCCTTAGTAACGCTGTTGGCCACCTGCTGTGCCATCGGCAGTCCTTAGTCATCCCAGCACCCCAGTGACGTGCGCCACCTGCAGTCTCATTTCACCCCCACAGTGTGATCTCCATCCTTCCCTTCTTAGCCCTCCTTGCACATCTCTCTCTCATCGTAATCCAGTAGCCCAGCGGAAATGCGCAGAGGAATCCGTGGTCAGATAGCAAGGAAAGAGGCAGTTATCTGAACACGTGTGCACCCCAGAACTGTAGAACAGAAGCCAGGCAGCGCGCAGAATTGGCTTCTCCAGCCTCACACCCTGACTCCCCCTTCTGTAGATAGGAAAAATGGAAGCACAGAAAGACTGTGTGTCCTCTAGGACCGCAGTCCCCAACCCTGGGCCACGGCCCAGTTCCGGTCTGTGGCCTGTTTGGAAACGGGCCACGCATCGCCGCCTGAGCTCCGCACCACCCTCCTGCTCCCCATGACACACACACCCACCCCCGGTCCGTGGAAAAACCGTCTTCCACGAACCAGTCGCTGGTGCCAAAAAGGTTGGGGACCGCTGCTCCAGGAGGACCAGAACCCGCCGAGGACCTCGTTGCTTACTGACCGTGCTTGGCCGTTTTGTACCCGATAGTACCCGCATTTCCTTAAGCGAGATGCCAACAAGCTGCAGATCATGCTGCAAAGGAGAAAGCGCTACAAGAACCGGACCATCTTGGGCTACAAGACCTTGGCTGTGGGACTCATCAACATGGCAGAGGTGAGCAGAGCGCGGCCGCCAACCACCGGCCTTTAATTCAGCGGCCTGAGAGATGCCAGGTCAGCCGCGTGAGCCCAGCCTGCCGGCCAGGTGCTTAAGTTTGTTTTGCAAGTTATTTATTTTATTAGAAATTCAGAATATACCTCTTTTTATCAAGTACTCTCTCCCTCATGGAAGGGTTTCTTTAATTTTTTAAAAAATAAAATTTCAAACTTTTGGAGAAGTTGAAAGACTGATATAAAGAATTGCCACATACCAGATTCGCCCACATTCTTCCGTGGTTGACTTATTACCGTATTTGCCTTACTCTTTCCGTACGTAGACGTTGATGCACGTTATTTCCTTTTCCGACCCGTCCGAAAGGCAGTTGCAAGCACCATGGCCCATTACACGTTAATACCGCACCGTGCTAATTTCCTTAAAATGAGAATATGCTCGTCTGGGCGTGGTGGCACTTGCCTGTGGTCCCACCTGCGTGGGAGGCTGAGGCAGGAGGATCCCTTGAGCCTGGGAGTTCAAGGTTGCAGTGAGCTGTGATCATGCCACTGGCCCCCGGCCGGGTGACAGAACAAGACCTTGTCTCTGATAAAAAAAACTCTTTTAAATAAATGAGAGTACTCTCCTATGTAAGCACCATGCTGTCGTAAAGATCAGGACGTTGGCACTGGTAGGAGATTACCACCTAACCCACCGTCCTCGCCTAGATGTGCCGAGCGTCTCGGTAATACCCTCCGTAGGCCCGAGCTCTCATCTGGGGTCACGTGTCGCATTTAGCTGTCACGTCTCTTTAGCCTCCCGCGATCTGTGACAGTCCCTGGGTTTTCCTTACCTTGCATGACCTCGCCATTTCTCAAGAGTACAGCCCGGTTCTGTTTGGGTTTCTCGTTGTCACCCGAAGATTGATGCATTCTGCGCGTTTTGGGCATCGTTGCCGCAGATGTAGCGCTGTGTGCTCCATGCAGCATGGGCTGCGCTTGACGTCGGTGTGTTCCCTTCCTGGTGATATTAACTTTGATTACGTGGTTAAGATGGGGTCTGCCAGCTTCTCCACTATAAAGTTAATTCATAGGTATTATGTACTTATTAATGAAAAAATATTTTATGGGGAAATGTTTTGAGACTTTGTAACTACCTTTTTCCTTCTCACATTTTTACCCACTAGTTTTAGCCTCTATTAATGGTTCTTGCCTGAATTGGTTACCACTGTACTTTGGTGTTGAATGAACAGTGGATTCCAATCCTGCCATGTCTTCTGTATTTATAGGTTGGCTTCTGTTAGTGCTTTCTCGTCTCCTCCGTGTACTGACTGGTTCGTTTATTTGTGTCAGTTGTGGGCTATGGATTCCTGTTTGAGCTGATGGCGTTTAATCTGCTGCTGCCATTTTTTATTTTCGTGCTCAGGTTGTCTCAGGTTTGGCCAGCGGGAGCCCCTGCCAGCTGGCTTCTGCATCCTTTTTGATATGTCTCATTGTTCCTTCCATAATTCCTTACTTCCTGGTACAAAATATTCCAGGCTCAAGTTGTACCTCCCCTGACCCAGCTCTGAATGAGCTGATTCTCCAGAGAGCCCTGGTCCCTTCCGTGGAGAATGGCACTTGGAAACCAAGATCCGGGTCCCGGGAATGCCCAGTGCCTGCAGCAGACAGAGCTGAGCAGTGCGTCTGTGTACACATGTGCGCTCGCGCACGCATACGTCTCGTCTGCTTCCAGATCTAGATCTGACCGTGAGCCCACATTGAGGCCAGCCCCATCCAACACCGAAAGGCTTTTCCAGCTTTACTCCTTCGTGCTTCTCCCGCCCTGGAACGGTCGGAACGGGGCTCCCGTCACTCTCAACGCGTTTGCTCATTTGCGCAGCTCTCCCGTGTGGCAGGCAGGTCCTCTCAGCTCCGACAAAGGGGAGAAGAGAGGAGCTGCACATCAGTCTGAAAAAATTGTTTCCATACTTTGGAAAATTAAATAGGAAAAATGTCGTGTCCATAATAGGAAATGAGAGCTAGTCCCGACCCCTCCTTGCGTCCTGGCCAGGATCAGTGTGAGGGACTGGCGGGGAGCGAGTTCAGACCTGCGTCCCGCGTCCCTGCTGTGTCCAGCTCTGCCGTTGCCCATGGACTGCGCTCTTTTTGCTCGTTACAGAGACCGGTGACCACCACCTGTAGGCCTGGCCTCACCGGCCTTTAGAACTAGTTTCTCTGTGAAGGACTTGAGCTAAAATACAGTCCTAGAGATCAGCAGTCATGTCAATCTCAGGTCACGATTGTCATCTTTAAACACATGGCCCTGGCCAGCGCCTGGTGCGTCTAGAGATAGTTTTGCAGTGAGGCCCTGAGGTCAACAGGAAGACAGTCGGCATGGATTTGGAAGGGAGAAAGAAAATGTATTAGCAGAACGCCATTGCCTTGCATATCCACTTGAATTCGTGAAAATAACAGCTATGGCTGGACGTGGTGGCTCACACCTGTAATCCCAGCACTTTGAGGGAGGCCAAGGCAGGAGGATCACTTGAGGCCAGGAATTTGAGACCAGCCTGGGCAACAAAGAGAGACCAGGTCTGTCTCTACAAAAAATTTTTTTAAAAAAATTAGCTAGATGTGGTGGTGTACCTGTAGTCCCAGCTTCCTCGGAGGCTAATGCAGGAGGATCACGTGAGCCCAGGAGTCGGAGGCTGCAGTGAGCTATGATCACACCACTCACTCTAGCCTGGGTGACAGAGCAAGACCCCATTTCTTAAAAAAAAAAAAAAGAAAAGAAAACGACAGCTGCTCTGTGGGCCTCTCCATAGCAGGACGTTTGCTCGCAGGTGATGCAGCACCCCAACGAAGGCGCGCTGGTGCTCGGCCTGCACAGCAACGTGAAGGACGTGTCCGTGCCTGTGGCAGAAATAAAGATCTACTCGCTGTCCAGCCAGCCCATCGACCACGAAGGAGTCAAGTCCAAGCTCTCTGGTGAGACGTGCGTGGCGTCCGGGGCCAGCCCACCCCACGCCCACCCCGGGAAAGCGGAGCAAGACGGGGCCTGAAACGTCCCCAGGCAGAAGTTTAGGGATCCCTGAAGACGGAGGGGGCCGGCCCTCCTCCCTCTGCCCCAGCCCACCAGATCTCCCCATGGCAAGGTCACCTCACTAAGGTGTCTGTTCCAGATCGCTCTCCCGATATCGACAACTACTCTGAGGAGGAGGAGGAGAGCTTCTCCTCAGAGCAGGAAGGCAGCGACGACCCGCTGCATGGACAGGTAACCCCTCAGCCCCCGCGTGGAGCGTCGGCGTCCGTTCCCTGGGCCCCGGCCTCGTTCCCCTCACCCTCCCCTCCCACTCAGGACCTGTTCTACGAAGACGAGGATCTGCGGAAGGTAAAGAAGACCCGGAGGAAACTGACCTCAACCTCTGCCATCACCAGGGTGAGCCTCAGAGGTCGGGGGCATGGGTCGTGTCCGATTTGAATTTGGTGGTAGGATGGGAGCAGAATTTCAAACTTCGTGGGGCTTTTGAAACTCCATCAGCTTGTGGCCACCCTGCTTCAGGATCCCGATGTACCCCTCTGTGCCCCCCCACAGCAAGGACTCACCGTCCCAGGGACCCACTGTGACCGAGGGGAGCGCACTAGGTTCTTGAGGTTATCCTAGGGTAGGAAAAAGGTTGAGACCCCTTGTTTTACAATTTGGAACCGATACTGGTTCTTTAGGGCGCAGAACACCCCAGACACCCTCCCACCCACCCAGGGAATCGCTCCGAGTTACACGCCGTCCACTGTAGAGACCAAGCTGGTCCCCTCTGGGGTGTCACCGCTCCTTTCTGATCATGTGTCAAACTTACCCAGAAAGAACCGGCTGGTACTCGGTGCTTCTGTGACCCTGGGCCTGGTAGGGTTTGATTCTATCAGCTACACTTCCTGCCTTAATGGAGCCATAACCTTGGAGACCAAATGCCTTTGGATACATCTCCGTAGGATTTCCTCAGCAGTCACTATTTCTGGTGAAATTACGGTCCTGGGCTGAAAAGCTAGAAACGTGAATTCCTAGCTGAACTTCGACTGATTCTGGAGCTCCTGGGCCCAAGTGTAGGAAGGTCAAAGCGCTGGGAGCTTTTCAGAGCGGGATTCGCAGCTCCCTGTGCCTGCGGCCTGACTCCCTGCAGTGCAGAGCCGCCCAGCGGCGGACCCCCCCTCCCCCCGCCCAAGAGCAGATCCCCACCCCTCCCGGGGAGAGATGCGGCCGCACGCTGGCATCGCTCCAGCCACCCTGAGGTGTGTGTCACTGGCCTTTAGGGTGAATTCTCCAGACTGTGACCTCGATGTCCCCGTCAAATCAATGAGGACAGGGCTTGAAGACTGTTTCCTTGTCCTTGGGTTTCTAGCCCCCGATGGGTGCTCCAGAATAGCCGGGGTGTGGCACGTCACCAGCCCAAACACTTTGCCTCCGTTGTACTCCGGCAGCGGAGCCACCGCAGGGTCTCTGCTCCGGCTGCTCCTGCTAGGTTTATTTTTCCTGTCCTGTAAGGGGCCTAATTGGCTTCCCACGCTGTGCCCCGGAAGCTTTAGAAGTCACCTCTTCCCGTGCAGGGTCTCCTCCATGCCTCGCCCCGGTGTGCGGCGCAAGTTCCGTGCCCCTGGTCATGTCCATTCCCCCAGAGGCCTTTTTCAAGCTGCAAGCACTTTCCAGTTGTGTCTCCAGAGACTTAGTAACCGCCTTTCAGTCCTTGTCCCCTCTGTGCACGTGAATCCCTCTCTCCCACCGAGAACGCGTTATCCGGACACACGGGTGTGCTGCTTCTTCTCCGAGTGTGTCTCGTGCTTCTCTGTCTCTGAGCTCCGTTTTCTCCTCCGCTGCGCACGCCCTTTCCCTCTTGTTTAGGGCCTCCCGGTTTCACTTGCAAGTTAGTTGTTTCCACTCCCCGAGGGGGAGTCTGTCATTCAGGCAGGAAATACATATGGCCACAAGCTAAGCCTGGCACCTGGAGCTGGGGACAGAGATGAGTAAGGCCCGGTCCCTGCCATCAAGGAGCACACAGTGTCTCATGGCACTGACACATCTCATGCCATGAGATGGCACTTTGCATAAGGGACAGCAGTGACACTAGGAGAAGGTGGCTACCTCCGACGGGGAGTGCCAGGACAGCTTCACAGATGAGGTGCCCAAAGATTGATTTTTAAAGATAGAATTTCACCCAGTGGATTTGGGGAAGATTTTTATGCAAGGCAGAAGATGCCGTATATAACGGCCCAGTACGACGACGGGCAGTTTTCCCAAGAACTGTGAGCAGCCACTTTATAGCTGACTGTAGGGTGTGGGGGGCGGAATGGTGGCAGCCAACCCTCGGACGTTTACACCAGCCTGACCTTTGAGCTTGGTTCTCCAGGCAGCGGGGTGGGGTAGCCTTCTGAGTGGGAGGGAAGGTAGCATGATCAGATCTGCGCTTGAAAAACCGCTGTGAGCTCTGGAGGGAGCAAGACTAGAAAGGGCCCCGCAGCGGGTGGGTGTCAGTTGAAGGCCATTGTCACGATCCCGGAGATGGGAGGAGAAGGGCAGCGGGTTCCAAGTGGGAAAGGAAGGGCAGGAGTTCTGCAGCAGGGGCCGTGGGGACAAAGGGAGGGAGAGGGACCCCAGGTGAGCCGTGGGTGTACGTGTGCACTGGGACGTCAGTACCTTGGAAGTGTGCAGTCTGAGACGCCTGGGCTGTGCACACACGTGGGAATGCCCAGCTGGTGCTGCGGGGCTAGAGGACGAGAGAAGGGAGTGGGCTGGAGGGACTCCTCTAGGCGCAAGGGCCTGGGGAGAGAGGGGCCGCCTCCTCCCAGCCGTGTCTGGAGCTCTGGGACTGCCTGGGGATTAGTCAGCACGTGCCTGTCCCCACAGGTGGGCTTCACGTGCTGAAGGCGGACACCGTGTCTTCCCATCTTTGTGTCCTCCCACGGTCCACAGGAGTGGGCTCTCGGCGGTATTTGTTGACTTGAACTGACCACAACTAGAGGTTGTTTGAGAACAATTGTGCCATTTGTCCCTACAGCAACCTAACATCAAACAGAAGTTTGTCGCCCTCCTGAAGCGGTTTAAAGTTTCAGACGAGGTACGACCCCTTACTCCCAAGGTTAATGTGAATAGAACTCTCTGAGTTTCGCGCATCATCCCTGGGGTGCGCTGTGTTGCCACTGGGAGTCAGGGTTCTGGGATTGTGCGTCCCGCCCTCCCCTCGCATGCCTGGTAGAGCCCCAGGGGAGAGGGGAGCGAGAGAAGGGCTTTGCATGAAGGTGTTTGGAGACGGGGTCACACCCAGCCACTGGTCGGTACCCAAGCCTCCGGCGTGGGTGTCAGGAACGAATCCAGTTGTTTAATTTTCCCTCCTGTCCCAAGAGGAACGTCAGTGAGCAGTGGCCTGTGAAGTAGAATGTTCTCAGTGGTCCGCCCCCGAGTAACCAGGAGTTGGCCGTTGACAGAGAAGCGTTCTCCTCCCTGGGCTCTGGCAGTCCCAGCACCAGTTTGCACAGCTTCTCGGTGGCCTAGAGGGGGGTGAAGGTGGAAATAGTTGAGAGAGGCTGTCTTTCTGTGGACTCTAGGGGAAGGTGGAACAGCCCACACGGCCGTTCCTTGGAGAGGTCCGCGAGCACTTCAGCTCTCCTTCCTGGCCAGCTCCATAGTGTGACTGTCAGGAGAGACTCGGGGGTTGGGGGGGCTCCTCCCCACGCCCTGCCCTCGGGGCTGGACCACGTTAGGACTGCTCCACGAGGCATGTCCCTGCAGGGGAATGTGAAGGAGGTGGGTTGACATCCGGCCCAGGAGGAAGGAGTTGCTCGGCCACCAAAATTGTTAATAGGGACAACCCAAATTCAGAGGCTTTGTTTCCCCCTACAGGTGGGCTTCGGCCTGGAGCACGTGTCCCGGGAGCAGATCCGAGAGGTGGAAGAGGACTTGGACGAGCTGTACGACAGTCTGGAGATGTACAACCCCAGCGACAGCGGCCCTGAGATGGAGGAGACGGAAAGCATCCTCAGCACGCCGAAGCCCAAGCTCAAGTGAGGCCCGGGCCTCCCGGACCCCTCTCCTCCCCGAGCCCCGCCCTCCCTCGCCCCCTGTCCCCGGGGAGTCTTGCTCCCTATCCTTCCCGACCCTGGGTAAAGATCACTGTTTCTCCTCTAACTGACGAAAGTCCCAGCGGGACTCTGGAAGTCCCTCTGCCCAGGCCCTGCTCCTCCACCCTCCGTCCACTGTGTCCTTCTCCCGGGCACCCCGAGGCCCGGGCTGCCGATCCTTCCTGCGCACCAGCTCTGCCCAGCTCCCCGTGGGCGATCGGCTGTTCTGAGCCGTGGCGGCCACTGACCCCAGCTGTGCTTCTCCACCACAGGCCCTTCTTTGAGGGGATGTCGCAGTCCAGCTCCCAGACGGAGATCGGCAGCCTCAACAGCAAGGGCAGCCTGGGGAAGGACACCACCAGCCCTGTGAGCAAGGCCGCTGGCCGCAGGCGGGAAACCGTTGCCGTTGCCGGTGGGGCTTCGCACCCTGGGCCCTCTGCCTCTCTGCCCGCGGCTCATTTTGTGACCTCAGAAAACCGGTCTCGTCTTGTTTCACCCTCGGTTTCCGCGTCTGAGTCCTGGCTGGGAGCCCGGTTCTCTAAGGGCATCGCTGTGTCTGGTCGGGGGTTCTCTCTGGTCTGTTCCCGCCACGGCGTGGAGCCTCCCCTCCCAGAACACAGCGCCTCAGAGTCTCTCTCTCGCGTCCGCCGTGCGGTAGCTGGGCACTCGTGGCGCGGGGCAGGCATCTGGCCGGGGTGCATGGTTCCAAAGGCGCGGAGAAGCCGCGAGATGTGCAGGAGACAGTAGGCTTCGCGGGGTAGAGGACTCACAGGGAAGCGGTGCCCTGAGAGCATTTAGAGTGTAGTCAGGAGCTTTCCGTCTTGCCTGGTGAGCAAGAGGAGAAGGACGCTGTCTGCTGTCACACCCAAGAGCCCCACGGCACCCTGGGCCGCGCCGGCCCTCCGTGGGAAGCCCCTTTCCCCAGCAGGGTGACGCTGAGCTTACCCTAGGCCTTCCCTTCGCTGACAACTAAAGGCATGTGGACGTTTTGCGTGATTTCAGGGCAGAGTTCAGGGTTTGCCGTTGAAAGCCCCGTGTCTCTGTAGATCAGAGACGCTGAATCCTTTGAGTCCTCCCGCGCTTCCTGCATCAGTAGCAGATGAAGCCACAGTCGTGTGTTCACTAGCCGGAGCGCACGGCTCGCCCTGCGGGAGGTGCTGACCGTGGGCAGGCTGGAAGGGCTGGTGCCTGCCCTGCGGGCTGGAGACCAGAAACTCTCCTGGGGCGTCCAGGCTGCCTTTCGGCCTGCGGCCGCCAGGTGGGGCCCTCCTCCCTTGTCGGCGAGGAGGTGTGGGTGGACGCGGCGGCCCACACCGCACCCTCCGCAGATCCGACCCTCAGCGCCATTCCAGCCCTGCTTCCCGGTGCCTGCGGCCCAGGAGGCCTCACTTCAGGGCTGATGCGTAGGGTCTGCCTTGGAGCTGCGCTTCCTCACGGGGCCTGCTGAGTCGTCGCTGTCCACCGGGGCAGACCACTGGCCGCTAGAGCCAGATTCCCTGTTCAACATAAGAGATAACTCTTCTAGAAAGAAACCTGGGGCCTGGCGGAGGGAGGGCTATTTCACGGAGTTCTACAGCAGAACACTGTAACAAAATATAATTAGATTATCGACTGAGACAATCAATGCCCAGAGAGCACTCTGCGTAACACCTAACGTGTTGTGAGTGTTCAGTAAACGCTAGAGATCGTCGTTCTTGATTCAGTCAGAGGAACTATTCTGTACTAGCGAAGGTATTTCCAGGTTACAGAATTTGGCTGTAGGTTCTACTGTGGTCTTGGTTACATGGTTCACAAAGTTGAGAGGAAAACATCCCTTTGCTGCTCTGGGCCTCAGGTGCCTTGTCCGTGAGGCGGCGGGTCGGCATGGGGCCCGTCGGCGGCGAAGCCGGGTGAGTGCCTGTCTTCAGGCTGTTACGGCCTGAGGGCCCCTGTGTAGACAGAAACCACACTGGGGCAGGGGGAGTTTCTGAGTTTGAATCTTGACTCCGTCACTCCACTGAGTGTGCTCTTAGGCAAGTTACCAAGCCTTGGTTTCCTCATCTGCAAAGCACTTGCGAAAATCACACGCTCGCCTGGGCATGGTGCCTGCAATCCCAGCACTCTGGGAAGCCAAAACTCACTGGAGCCCAGCAGTTCAAGACCAGCCTGAGCAAGAGTGAAACCCGTCTCCACTAAAGAATGAAAAATGAGCCGGGCGTGGTGGCGGGCACCTGTAGTCCCAGGCTGCTTAGGAGACTGAGGGAGGAAGATGGCTTGAGCCCAGGGAGTTCCAAGCTGCAGTGAGCTGTCATCATGCCACTGCTCTCCACCCTGGGTGACAGAACAAGACCCTATCTCTAATTAAGAAAAAAAAAAAAAGCACTTCCCTCAGCAGGCAGTGTGGAGACGCACACGCAGGTCAGACCTCTCGCCTGGCATGTACTGGACGGACCGAGCGCGTGAGGAACGTTGCTCGTTGCTCAATGAGTGCTGTTGCTTGTATTGTTGTAATTCCTTAGCGCCATCTCAGTGTTGGGCTCCTAAAATTGGTAGGACTTAGATGTCTTTTTAGTGAGCCTTCAAATTCTGGTTCCACTGGCCAGATTTCAGACTCACTTTACTGGTTTTCTGCGGATGCCGCTATTTTTTGAAGATCCCATACGTCGCGATGTGGGCGTGAAACTTCGAATCCTTTGCTACGAAGGCGCTTCGGGAGCAGCAGAGCGAGGCTTGCTCCTAAACAGAGAACTTCTGAATGGCTTAGGAGAGAACATGAGACTGTACCCGCGTAGGCAGACGTGCACACACTGCTGCCACTTGGTGTCCTTCCTTCCCTGATGTCGTAACGTTGCTGTTTTGTTCATTTTTCTTAATCTTCCTTCTTGTTCCTCAAATTTTTAGAAAACTCAGTTTATCACTAGAACCAGAAGGAATTTCTGCTGATGCAAATTACTGCAGTTGTTGAGTTTTCGCAAGACTGGAGCACGCAGGAGCGATGTGATTTGTTTCTCTAAGCTGTTAGCAGTAGGCCCTGACGGTGCTTCGGGTGGGGTGGCCACGAGAGGCAGACCTTCAGCCAAGACTGCGGCTGCTAAAGGTTGCAGCCGCCTGCTCCTGTAGCATTGTGACAATGGTCTTGGAGACCAGCCCTTCACACAAACAACAGCCCAGACAATGCCCACTGCCGCCCTCCTCCCCACACACGTGCACATGCTGCTCAGCGGCTGACACCGCCCGGTGGGCACAGTGTAGATGCTGGGACCTCGAGATGCCTCGTCCGCCTCCCCTGCCAAGCCGGAGGACGAGCCAGAGCACTGCTGGTGTTCCAGGGTGTCTGTAAGAGCAGAACAGACGCTCGAAGCAGCTGGGACGTTGTCTCCGGGAGGATTGCCGAGGACATGTGCAAGTGTCAGTGAATGGCCAGCAGGCACCCCCTGAACCAACCCAGTTGCACGACTTACCGGGAGATCGTTAACAACCTCGATCCGGTCATCTCAGAGCGTACACGTGTAGCAACACGTGCTGCACCATAAACACACACAACTTTCATTTGTCAGTCACGCCTTCGTAAAGCTGGAGGGAGTCAAATCTTATTACATGTTGCAGCTTCGCCATGGCAACGATGCTGTGGCTGCCACAGGGCTTCACGACGAGGCACACGACCTTAAAACCCGGCAGAACTGTGCCATCTCCCCAGTTCATTCTTTCTCAGCATGTCCAATTCATTTGTCGTACTGAGATCCAAAACAGACTGACGTCGTCTTTACTCTTAGGTCTGGCCAGGGCTTTTCCACGATTCTCGATCTGTTAACACTGGCTGATTGTGCAGACAGCGTGTAAACGAGCTAGTGCTGCGGTCTGCAGCCAGCCGTCGTGTGTGGCCGTGAGCCATGGCCAAGCCAGCGGCCTGCACACCTGGCGTGTTGCGTTCGTCTTGCAGATGGCTTAACACAGCGATTCTCAACTAGGTGATTTCGCCTCCCAAGAGACATTGGGCAGCAACTGGAGACATTCTTGGTTGTCACCAATGGGCAGTCTGCTCCTGGCACCCAGTGCGTGGAGGTCAGGAGGTCAGGGATGCTGCCAAGCATCCTGCAGTGCACAGGACAGGCCCCCGCAGCACAGAGTGATCCAGCCCCAAACGTCAGCAGTGCCACAGTGAGAACCCTGCTCTAGAATGCGACACAGGGAGCCCGCTTTTGTGGTCTCTGCTCATTAGTTTGCCGAGTGAGCCCTGCGCTCCTCAGCCTGACACTTCTCAGTATTATATGGTTTACTTAGAGAAAGGACTTGGAGTAACTGGGGGCGAGTGGGATGTCCTTCATGTTTCCTGGTCTCTGTGGTTCCGTGTAAGAAACAAGAGACTTACAAGGCCAGTACCTTCCCTACATCCAAGACCTACAACCCGCGACAAGTCACTGCTCGCGACTTTGACTTGGTGTCTACACAGCCAGAAGCAATATTAGCAAATTTAAAATCTGGTTACGTATCTGTATTTGCAAAGTAAATTTTTAATATTTATGAGAAATGCTAAGAAGTGTTGGGGACAAATGGAGAATTAATTCACACCTAAATGGCTTAACATTGGGTGTCTTTCTGCATAATATATTCTGTCAGAGGGTTTTCTGGATGTTTCTACTGAGCAAAAAGCATTTGGCTGTGGTGAGTGTCTTTCGTCTCAAAATCAAACACCTAAACAACAATTTCCTGCTTTCTCTGACAAGTGGAGGCGGCCCCGTGTGTGCCCGGGCAAGGGTGCTGACCGCATCCAAGGTGAGAGCTTCCCGGTCCAGCAGCAAAGCTACGTGACCTTTGAGCTTCTCCCCCCGTGACATCTCACGGGAGGTAGAAGTTCTGGATTCCGCATCTCACTGTGTTGCCTGATTACAGAAATAACTGATCCCTCCCAAGCTTCGTTTTCACAAAAATATGCCCCCTTAAAAGGTAAAAACCCTAGAGATTTTATGAGGTTGAAGATTAAGCGAAAGTATGTTAAGCGTCATGGGGAACTGGTAAAACAAGTTAGCGTGGTAGCTATTTGTGTCAGTGATAACTAATTATTACCATGTTTGCAGATGGAGTTGGCTGCTCTAGAAAAAGTCAAATCTACTTGGATCAAAAACCAAGATGACAGCTTGACTGAGACGGACACTCTGGTACGTACAGTGCAGTTTCCTGTTTCTGCCACTTCCAACAGCACCTGTCCCTTTAGAAATAAAGGGGGAAAGACCCTCGGAACTGCCGGGAAATGTCGCCTCAGCCTGGGGCGACTGCGCGTCCTGCATTCCTTCTCCGGAAATCTTTCCCGTGGAATGTGACCTCCGCTGGACACTAGGTCCTTCCCCAAATTAGCAAACCAGAAATGTTCCCATTCTGCTCTTTACTTAGAGGGGTCAGGTGCTAGTTTGGATAATTTCTCACTGTCACCCTCATTTGCTCCCAAGCGGTGATGACCAGTGTCTCCCCTGGAAAGCGGTCCTCTCCTCCTCACATGTTGTCCTCTCGGTGGCCAGGCAGCCCAGCTCAGTCTCCAAGGCGTTGCTGGTCATCTCCTTCCGCTAAGAGGCGTTGGAGCTGCAGGGTGCGCGCCGGGATGCGCAGTTTAATTACGCGTTGAGTCGCACGCACGTTCAGCTTGCACCTGCTCGTGCCGAACACGGGAGAGGAGAGGCGAGTGGCACAGTCTGCCACCACAGCCCCGCCCGGGGAAGCCCCTGTCACACCGAGGGTGCTACCCCGGAGGCCCAGGCAGGTGGGGGGGATGCAGGCTGGGGAGGGCACGTCCAAGCTGGGTTTGGCAGGGTATCCCTGGGACCGGAGGCTGGACGCTGGGCGGGAGGGAGCAGGGAACTTCCTGGAATGCCACCTGGGGTGTGCTGCCCGAGCCTCGGGCGAGACCTGCTGAGGGTTGAGTGGGATCCAGGAGAACGATTCTAGGCTTGTTTCCTGCAGTAAATGATTCCTCATTAAAGATCTCGTGTATGACAGAGCGTTAGGCTGGATCCAGGACGAGTCTAGGATTCGCCGTGCTAACTTACATTTTACAGTTCGCCACAGTCTGAATAATCCAGCTTCCACTCTGGCCCCGCTGTGGTCCACGCTGCATGTGGCGACTATCGTGGTCTTTCCAAAATGAAATTCCAATTGTGTCATTTTCTGATTAAACTCTTGAGTGACTGATCAAATCTCAGGGACTTGATGTTGAGCAGAGGAAGCCAAACACAAAAAAAAAATGTGTGCCGGCCGGGCACGGTGGCTCACGCCTGTGATCCTAGCTCTCTGGGAGGCCGAGGCAGGCGGATTGTTTGAGTTCAGGAGTTCGAAACCAGCCTGAGCAAGAGCGAGACCCCGTCTCTACTAAAAATAGAAAGAAATTAATCGGACAACTAAAAATATATAGAAAAAATTAGCCGGGCATGGTGGCGCATGCCTGTAGTCCCAGCTACTCGGGAGGCTGAGGCAGGAGGATCGCTTGAGCCCAGGAGTTTGAGGTTGCCATGAGCTAGGATGACGCCACGGCACTCTAGCCCAGGCAACACAGTGAGACTCTGTCTCAAAAAAAAAAATGTGTGCCATAGGATTCCATTTATGTGAAATTCACAAACAGGCAAACCTAACCGTGACTGCAGAGTGAGAACACTTGCTGCCTGTGGGTGTGGGACAGGGCCTGTGGGACGCTTCGGGAGTGCTGGAATGTTCCATCTTGACTGGTTAACGGTGACCGAGAGCTACACTGGTGTAAAAATTCAAGTTCCCTGCTTTAGATCTGTGCCCCTCACTCCGTGCGTGCTACGCCTCAGCGAACACTTTGAAAATGCAAAGCACGGGCAGAGGTAGAGAGGCAGGTGAGCGGGCACACGGGCGGGAGCATCAGGGAAAGGCTGGTCCTGGAGAGGACGTGGGGGACAGCAGGACAGGAAGGTGGCCTGGGGCCAGGTCCTGGAGGGCCCCAAAGGCCCCGCCGAGGAGCTGAGACTTGGTTCTGAGCAACACAGAGCTGTTGCGCCGTTGGAGTAGTGCTGGGCCACGGTGACCTTCATGCGCCAGGAAGGCTGCGCTGGCCTGAGCGGGCAGGTGGTTCGAAGCGGGGAGCGGGGCCCGTGGAGACTGTCAGAGTGACCGGAGGACAGGCAAAGGCCCGAGCCCAGAAGGTGGGATGATGGGGTGGGTGTGAGTGAGCTGGGAGGTGCCGCCGGGAGTTGGCACGAGGATGAGGAAGGAAGGGAGGATTCCAAGGTCGACGCAGGGTGGCTTTGGCTGAGGTGAGGAGCATAGCTGCAGACCTCCGTGGTCCCCAGACCACAGCCCGTGCCCTGACGAGGCCAGGCCGGGAGCTGGGGAGATGTCCAGGTACGGTCCCCTTCCCTCCAGGAGGTGGCGGGCCGCCAGTCCGCTCTGGCGCACGTGCTGACAGATGGCTCGTGCAGGTGGAGGGCAGGGCTGGACGGCAGCGCACGGGCGCACCCATTTAAACTGAGCAGTAGCAGCCCCCCGTTGGCTGAGGACGGAGGTTTGGAACCGCACGCGTCCGAGAAAGAATGAACCGCGCCCTCGCGGTGGTGAGGGGCCTGGCCGCACTCTGAGGAGGCTCCTGCTGGTCGCTGCGTGAGCAGTAGCCTCACGGCTCCTCCTCCTCCGTGGCAGGAAGTCACTGACCAGGACATGTTTGGAGATGTGAGCGCCAGTCTGGTTGTGCCAGAGAAAGTCAAAACTCCCATGAAGTCCAGCAAGACGGATCTCCAGGGCTCTGCCTCCCCCAGGTACCGCAGCTGGGAAGGAGGCAGGGGGCGCGAGCATACTTAGCATGGGCGCTGGGGCCTGGGGAGAGCGAGGCTGGCAGCAGCTTTGGGGTGGGAGGGCTGTTTGACCACCCTTTCCGCGTCCCCGGCAGCAAAGTGGAAGGGGTGCACACGCCGCGGCAGAAGCGGAGCACGCCCCTGAAGGAGCGGCAGCTCTCCAAGCCGCTGAGCGAGAGGACCAACAGCTCCGACAGCGAGCGCTCCCCGGACCTGGGCCACAGCACGCAGGTACTGCCCGGCCCGGCACGGCCAGGGCCTCCCGAGAGTCCCTGGACTGCAGGCTCTGTTCAGTCATCTTCCTCGGACAGTTAGCTGGAGAGGAAAGGAGAGGCACTTCGAAACGCTCCAAATAAAAAGTCTCCAAGAAAGACCAGAGTTAGAGAGCTCTCCTGTGTTCCTTATCATTATTTACTGCCCGGGGATAGGCTGACCTGTGGGAGCGGGAACGGAGCCAGGAGTGCTGGCGTTGGTCTGGTGTGCCCGCTGTCACTCTCGTTGGCTATGCCTCCTGGGCCTCCACCAGACAGTCTGGGGGTCAGGCAGTGAGTCAGTTGTCCAGAGGACGGCAGCCACCAGGTCTCGGGGGACGTCCCCAACCTGAGTGCCAATACTTTAGTGCATCTCTGGGTCAGTTACTGCGATTTCAAGCTGATAAGTTAACAGTATTAAAGTATTTCTATTGAAGTTCCTGAGAGTGGCTGGAGAAGAAGTCAGAAGAAACGGGGCCTCAGGAGTCGTGTTCTCTTTGGAGGCGGGGGCGTCAGAGCCCCGGGGCAGGGGCTTCCCTGGACTGCTGCGGGTCTGGAGCGAGGCAGCAAGTCTGGTCGTTTCCCTGATGGATATTATCAAGAGAAAGCGTGTGTCAGCGTGGCCTCCTGAGTTCGAGGCTGTTACACAGCTGAAAATGAGCCCGAGCCTAGAATAGCCTAGTGCCTGGGGTGAGGTATTGTCCTTCCTGCTAATCACTATTCCCGAAATACCTTTTGTTCCCTCACACAGCAGGGCCCCACACAGCGCTCCCTGCCACTCTCATTTTTTCTCTCCTCGCTGCCCTGGTTCTGTCTCTCTGAGCGCCACCGGCCGCCTCTCCTGCCGCCTCCTTCCTCCACCGTCCGCGCCGGCAGGACGACCGCGTGGCTTTGTTCTCGTGTGTTCGCGCGTCCTCTGAGGACTCTGCTCGTTCTTTCTCCTCCCCTCCGCACCGCGGTCTGGCGGGAGGCTGCGTCTCCTTCACGGATTCCGTGTTCTCGGTTCTCTGAACATCCCTGCTCCGGTGCTTCTCCACGCACCTGGCCCCCAGCCCCAGGCTCCCCGGGGGCTGCCTGACAGGGGACACTTTCGTCCCTGCAGATTCCAAGAAAGGTGGTGTATGACCAGCTGAATCAGATCCTCGTGTCAGACGCAGCCCTCCCCGAAAACGTCATCCTGGTGAACACCACTGACTGGCAGGGCCAGGTGAGGGCTGGGGCCGAGGCTGTGCCCAGGGAGCGCGAGCCCAAGGGCACATGGGCGGCGGGAGAGCGACCCCTCCCTCAGCCCCTCCACCCTGAACCGAGCCCAGAGCCCCGGATTCCAGTCCTACTTCCGTCATTGTGCAACCTGTGGGATGTGCGGTCGCCGACTGTCCCACGCCTCAGCTTCCCCGCACGTGGGAGAGCAGCAGCAGCCCCGCCTGGCGCTGTCAGCGCGCCCCGGGCGCAGGCAGCACAGCGGGGCCCAAGCACTTTGAGAAGCTCCACGTGCTGGAACATGCCAGGGTTGGTCCTGGTTCCCACAAAGGCGACTCAGCGGGGCCAGAGCAGCCCCGCCCGCACCCTGCCCACAGACACTGGTGCCCGGACCCCCGGAGTACGGGCTGTAGAGGAGCACTAGTGTCAGAAACGCCCTCAGCCTTCCCGCCTGCGACAGTCGGCGTGTCTCGTGGGTCTGGCCCCACCTCTCCTACTCTCCGAGTGGGAGCCGGGAAACTGGCCACCTTTGCCCAACTTCAGTCTGAGCTACAGAGGACAAGGGCCCTGCAGCTCAGCCTGGGCCGTCCTTGCCCTCACCTGTGTCCCTTCCCCTTTCCCCCCCCCCCCCCAGTACGTGGCCGAGCTGCTCCAGGACCAGCGGAAGCCTGTGGTGTGCACCTGCTCCACCGTGGAGGTCCAGGCCGTGCTGTCCGCCCTGCTCACCCGGATCCAGCGCTAGTAAGGGCACCGCCTCCCTCTCCCGCCTTCACCCTCCACCCTGACTTCCAGGCGAGGACAGGACCCCCTGGCCTCATCAGACTGGGAAACCACAGTGGGGTGTGTGGCCGGGGCGCAGCACAGGCCGTAGGCAGCTCCTGCCCGCTGGCTCCCTGCCCCGACCTCGACTTGCTTCATCCTCTTCTTAACTGCGACAGAGAAGAGAGAACCCCAGGTTTTAAACGGACCTTTTACTCTTTCCTTTCAACTGCAACATGCTGCTTGACAGTGGAGGGTTGGGGCTCCCCCAGGGCCTTCTCAGAGGGGCCCAGAAGCCCCTGCCCGTGTGGCCGCTGCGGATTCCAGAGTCCCAGGGCGCACACCCAGGCGGCACTGCCGCGTTGCACGTCACCCTCAGCTGTTCCATCTCCTTCCTGGGCAGCGACGTGCGCTGTGATCCTGGATTTCCTCTTAATCGCAAAAGCACTGTGGCTTGTTGTCCACGTTTTTCTGTTTTATTTTGCATATTGTTTTGCTTCCCCTGTGGGTTGTTGAGATCATGGAGAGTCGGCCCTTGGGGTCCCCCTGAGCAGGATCCTGGCGACTCCAGGTCCTGTGACGGTCCCCTTCCTCCCCAGCTGCAACTGCAACTCTTCCATGCCCCGGCCGGTGAAGGTGGCCGCGGTGGGGGGCCAGAGTTACCTGAGCTCCATCCTCCGGTTCTTTGTCAAGTCGCTGGCCAGCAAGACCCCCGACTGGCTGGGCTACATGCGCTTCCTCATCGTCCCCCTCGGTAAGGCCGGCCGCTGCAGGGAGCGGGTGTGAAGCTACACGCTCCCACCAGTGAGTCCTGCTCCCGAGGCGGGGGGTGGGTGGGCCGCCCCCAACTTCACCCCCAGACCAATTCGTCTTCTCCGGTTTTCCACCTACCAGGTTCTCACCCGGTGGCCAAATACTTGGGCTCCGTCGACAGTAGATACAGCAGTTCCTTCCTCGACTCTGGCTGGAGAGATCTGTTCAGTCGCTCAGAGCCCCCAGTGTCAGGTAGGGGCCCTGGGCAGGGAGCTGTCCCCAGGTTCACAGGGCCAGCCTCGGCAGGGGGCGGAGCCTGGGGCTGTGCTGCTCTCCCCGCACTGTCCCCTCCCTGGCACTCGGCACGTTCACTTCCGGCACGTGTTCGTTAGCGGAGGCTCCTTACGCGCTGCCCTCCCACTCTGGACATTTGGAGCCTCTGCACGTCGGGAAGTGGGGAAGGCCACGTGCAGGGCGGGCACTGGACATCTCCAGTCGTAGAGGTGAAATCCAAGAAGCAGAGAATAGTTACCGAGTCACGTCTTAGTAAATGACAGACACTGCCCCAACCGATGTTTCCCTGAGTGCCGCTTAGAGGTGGCAGGATCAGAACGAAGCTGAGCCCCTCCAGGCAGGGGGGGTGACGGCCTGGCAAGGCTGTGACGAAGGGCTGGGCAGAGATGGGTGGGGTGAGGCTCCTGTGGGTTGACTGATGGCCACGAACACAGGCAGGAGCAGGTGGGTGTGACAGGAAGGGCGTGGTTAGCCCAGGAAAGAGCAGGACTTTGAGAACTGCAAACGGAGACTGGAGGGAGAGGCCCATCCTTTGGTTCAAAACCAAAGGGCTCTCGGCCCTTCCTTAGCTCGACCCCCAGGGTCCTGTGCGGAGTCTTAGGAGGCGCTCCCCGAGGGGTCGGCAGGTTTGCCGGCGGAAACCGATGGCAGCTGTTGCTTGGCTTTCTGCAGAGCAACTGGACGTGGTGGGGCGGGTGATGCAGTACGTCAACGGGGCGGCAGCGACGCACCAGCTTCCCGTGGCCGAAGCCATGCTCACCTGCAGGCACAAGTTGTAAGCTTGACTTGGGGGGTTCTGAGAAATAGGTTGGGCGGGTCACAGGAATATCGAGTCTTCCCTGCACTTCCACACTTTCCCTCTCTACACCCCACGTCCCTTCTCAAGAACCCCAGAGGGTGAGAGGGATTTTACCGCCTCCCGTTGGCGCTCCTTCCTTGCCCCGGCCTCCCACTGCATGGGCAGGCGCTAAGTGGTTTCCTTTCTGGCCCCTCCGTGCAGAGCAGCCCGTCTAGGGGCTGAACTCAGATGTGGGAGCAGGGAGTGTAGTTCGCACAATTGGCCCTTCTGCCCATTTCATGTGCTCCCTACGTACCGCAAGTAAGAGACCTTCGTGCCACCCTGAGATGTGATGGGCTGATGTACAGCGTTCTGGGCTCCTTTGAAGCCACAATAAAACAGGAGGAGCTCACGTCCCAGCGCCCCACTCAGCCTGACCTGCTAACTGCAGAGCTTTCCTGTCTCCCAACAGCCCTGATGAAGACTCTTACCAGAAGTTCATTCCCTTCATTGGCGTGAGTACCGATGCCCTCTGCTCCGTGCCCAGCCCATCCTTCCTGGCACCCACATAAAAATAAAAGATTCGTCTAGAACAGTGGTTGGGGGGTGCCCCCAGGGGACAGGCAGTGTCTGGAGACATTTCTGATTATCACAGCGGGGCCTGTGATGCTGCTGAACACCTGCAGTGCACGGGACAGTCCCCAGTGCAGGGAATGGCCCGGCCCCCCGCGGCAGCAGCGCCGAGGCGGAGGAGCCCTGGGCTGGGACATGTGTTGTGTGGCCCCTCTTGGTGTCCTCCCTTTCTGAATCACAGACTGTCCCCAGAGTCATCCGTGGTGTCTCCTGTTTATTGCACCAGGCCCTGGACTTGGTGCCTTGGCGCAGGGAATGATGTCCAAGCAGAGCTTCCACGGGCTCCAGGGAAGAGGGAGCTGCCTCAAAATTATGAAAGATATTTTGAAGAGAAGTCTGAGAAATAGATATTTCTGTCTTCAGGATCAGCTAGACCACTGAGAGGAGGGTTTCTCATCTTTCTGTTTAATTGAGGAAAATCTCTATACTAGTTAATTTTGAAAATAAAGGAAAATGCCAGGTGTGGTGGCTCATGCCTATAATCTCAGCACTTCAGGCCGGGAGTTCAGGATCAGCCTGGACAACATAGAAAGACCCTATCTATCCCTGTGGGAAAAAACATTAGCTGGGCGTGGTGGCCCGTGCCTGTAGTCCCAGCTACTCAGGAGGCTGAGGCAGGAGGCTCACTTGGGCCCAGGAGTTCCAGGCTGCAGTGAGCTGCAATCACACCACTGCCCTCCAGCCTGGGCAACACACCCTGTCTCTGAAAAGAAAGGAAGGAAGAACCTCTTGGATGTCTTTGAAGTCAGGTAGACTGGCCGTCTGTCTGTTTCATTTGGCGACATCTGGGCCACAGGCACAGAATGACCTAGAGGGGCCAGAGGGATCAAGCTTATAGCCCTGTGAGGGGCCAGCACGCCGTGGAAGCAGGGCTGAAAACTTGGATTTCCGTTTATAAGACCTAATTTCCCTTCCAAACGAGCTCATGTCTTTTCTGTCCTCTCTTTGAGGATCACTCAGAGCTTTTGGGGGGAGGTTTTTTTTGCGGGGGGGGGGCCGGGTTCCTTGTTTTCCTTTTTTTTGGGCCCCAAGGTTGTTGGAGTCTGGGAGATGCCTGAGCTGGGGAAACAGTCCAGCCAGTTTCCGGTGAGCCCCGGGGCTGCCCCATGGCCGTGCTACAGGTCCCAGGGCCACGGCCCACAGGCTGGGCTGGCGGTTTGGCGCATCTCATTGTGCTGTGGGTTGCTGCTCACTCTCACCTCACAGCTGAGAGAGAAAAATTCTTTTGAAACCAAAGGAGCTGGCAGCCTCACAGAGCACCAGGGAGCGAGGGGAGAGGGGAATTGTACCCAGGAGGCCCCAGAGTGTCGATTTGTTCTTCTCCCGGAACCAAAGCAAGGTTGCGTGGAGAATTGGGGCAGACCTCAGGAGTGCAGCCGTGTGCTCCCGGCAGCCCTGGGGACCATCTGCAGGGAGCACGTGTCCGGCTCTTCCGGCTGAGTCCAGCCTCTGGCCTCTCAGCTCAGCTCCGCTGCTCCTTTGCCTGGGGCCGGGCCAGGTGATAGGGCACAGGATGTCCGGGCACTTCAGACACAGCCTGGATGGTCACATCATCTGTCTCTGGCTGTGTCCCTTTCTGGCCACTGGAGGGCGCCCTCTGTCCTTTCCAGAATTCTCTGTGGCGACTCGAAAATCCCTGAGGACCACCCCCCACCCCACTTCAGCAGGGTGATTCCAGGAGGGCGGAGGGGGCGGCGCTGGCGTCACCCCTTAGCATGGAGCACGGCCCCTGCCATGAGAGCTCCTGTCCTGACAGGTGGAGCCGTGGTCCTAGGTCCCTCCCCACGTGGTGTCCCCAGGGCACTGAAACGGCTTCTGCCCTGGACCTTCATCCCAGAGAAGAGCTGCTCATCTCGCAGACCCCGAAGCATGTTTGGAACTGAGTTTTTGTCTCGCTGTTTTCCCCACGTCTCTCAAAGCTGCGCTGGATTCGCAAAGATTTTAAAGGCTGCGCTAAAACAATGCGTAGTGATGGCTGCGGTTCTGACCACCTGCTTTGCGGGGCTCTAATGAGTGTCTCTCTCCACGCAGGTGGTGAAGGTGGGTCTGGTTGAGGACTCTCCCTCCACCGCAGGTGAGCTGGGCTCCGTGTCTTCCGTGGGGTGGGGGCCGGGCCTGCCCCTTCCTCGATCTCCAGTCCAGTCGGCCCGAAGTTGGAGGCCCTGGACGTCCTAAGGGAAACCAGCGTGTGAGCAGGAAGGACGTGGGCACCCTGGCCCCCAGCTGAAGTGGTGCCAGGGGCGGGGGGAGGGGCCGAGGCCCACGGAGGAAGGCCAGGCTGCCAAAGAGACGCAGGGAGGTCAGGATGGCTTCCTCCCGCCATCTGTGTTTGTCCCCCTGCCAGGCGACGGGGAAGATTCACCGGTGGTCAGCCTTACTGTGCCCTCCACGTCACCACCCTCCAGCTCGGGTCTGAGCCGAGACGCCATGGCCACCCCGCCCTCCTCCCCGTCCATGAGCAGCGCCCTCGCCATCGTGGGGTAAGGCTCCCGCCGCGCCTGCCTGTCTCGCGCCCCGCTCCGTCAGCGCCCAGCAGCCGTACTGATTCCAGGGACAGGCACTGGGCTTGGGAAGTGGCACCAGGGCGAGGACACTGGAGTTGGAATTCAGGGACGAGATCCGGCGGCCCAGGCATGAGCAGCAGCAAAACGGAGGGCGCTGTCCTCCCCGTCTCGCGGAGTTGCAGGCGCGGGTGAGACGGCGCTGGCAGAGAGGCCCTTGCTAAGCTGCCTCTAAAGTGCCGTGCAGGTGTCTGGCTACGGGACTTCCTAGGCGGCAGGAAGAGTGTGGGCTCGGGGATGAGCCACAGCTGGGTTCCGGCAGCTCTGCCTTCTGTCCGCTGTGTCCCTGGACACGGAACTGAACTTCAGTTCTGTCTTCTGTGTAGCAGACGTGAAACGACCGCCTCACCGCACTGTCGTGTGGCTTAAATGAGAACACACGTGTTAGTGCTGTTCACGCAGGGGTATCCCGCCTGTCCGTGCGGGCGCTGGGGCTGGAGCAGCCACCAAGCTGGGCAGCACCCGCCCACCGCGCAGTCACCGCACGGTGACGGAGACTCAGACTGCCGAGTGGCCATGGTGGGCGTGTCTTCAGGACCCCGCCTCTCTAAAGCTTAGAGGAAGCTGAACATCCGCTGTTCAGGGAGCAGCTTTGCGCGTGGCCTGGCGAGTGGGAGGGTGCTCTGCCGCGAGGAGCCCTGCGGAGAGGAGAGCTGGGCAGGGCCAGAAACTTCCACGGGAACAGCCTCTGTCCTCACCCCCACTTCCCTTTCTTCCGCCTTCACCTCTTTCTCTCCTTGTAGCAGCAGAGAGGGAGGCGCTGGCCAAGGAATTTTCCAGAAGCGCCAAGGGCAGCAGCACAGCCTGGGCTGGACCCCAGCCCTCGCGCCCCCCTCCTTGGTCAGCTCCGCGGCACCTGCTGCTTTGCTGGGAGGGATAGTGCGGGAGGAGGCGGGATCAGGCGGGATCAGCGCCACGCCCAGGGAGGTCTGCGTGTCCCTGCAGCGGGAGGGTCTCCGTCCCACGGCCACTGGGAGGCCTTGGGGTCGGCGCGTACCTCCACCTCCTTCGCCTTCCGATTGAAGCCGTTTCTCAGTGGAGCGCTGAACTGGGGCGGGAAGAGAAGATGCCTCCTGCGTGTGCCTGTTGTGTCCAAGCCGCTCTCCCCTGGGAGCTCGGGCTGTCGCTGAGCTAAACGTGCCATAAACACGAGGAAGCCGCAGGCTGGCCCCGCTTGCTCCCGGCACCCCCTCCACTTAGCGTTCGCCAGGCCTTGCCTGCGGGCACGTGTGTGTGCACGTGTATACATACGTGTGTGAGTGCGTGTTGTCCCTCATCCTCCTGTGACGTTTTTATTTGGTTCCCTTTCCGTGTCCTGTGCGCTCATCCTCTTGGCTTTGTCCTCAGGCCAGCCTGATTCTCCGTCCTTCGCGACTGGAGGGCCCGCGGCCAAGGCTGGCCTTCCTCCCCGCCCCCGCCCGGCCTGGTACTCACAGCTGGTGTGGAGCCGAGCTCTGGCCTTTGTCTCCCCACCCAGGAGCCCCAGCAGCCCGTACGGGGATGTGATCGGCCTCCAGGTGGACTACTGGCTGGGCCACCCCGGGGAGCGGAGGAGAGAGGGTGACAAGAGGGACGCCAGCTCCAAGAACACCCTCAAGAGCGTCTTCCGCTCGGTGCAGGTCTCCCGCCTGCCCCATGGCGGGGAGGCCCAGCTCTCCGGCACCATGGCCATGACTGTGGTCACCAAAGAGAAGAACAAAAAAGGTAAGCACCCCGAGGCCAGGGCAGTCCGGGGCCAGCAGGCCTCCCGCCTCCTCTCCCAGGGTCTGGGACAGAACCCGCTCCTGGGAGACGCTGGATGGAGCGCAGCCGGGGGCCCAGAGGGGGCAGTCCCGCCTCCCCCCAGGGGACAAGGCCGTTCCCTCTGTGATGCAGGGAGCTGAGGCCTCGGTGGCTCATTGGTCACTGTCAGCCGAGCACCTGCACCCCGGGGCCGAGGCAGTTACTGCTGTGCGGTGAAAGGAGCTTTTCCGGCCACTGCCCTCCGGGGTGGACTGCGTGACAGGGACGTCTCCACGCCACAGCACCCCCGTAACGCGGGGGAAGCAGAGCATCTGCTCCCAGCCTCAGGGACCACTCCAAAGAGGTTTCATGAGCAAAAGCACATAGTCACTTGTTAAGAATCGAGGGGCATACGGTCCACTCTGGGCAGGAGGGTGGCTCACGGCGCTGGAGGTAGAGGAGGAGGTGGCCCTGCACCCTGCGCTCTGGGAGAGCGAGGCAGGGTTCCCTGGCAAGGCCAGCGCTGCGGCAGCACCTGCCACTGGCGGTGCCAGCTGGGGACCTGCAGCACCGGCGTGGCTCCACACCCTGCCTCCTGCGGGCGCTCCCGAAGCAGCTGTGCCCATTTCTGCAGAGCTCCCTGGGGGTCAGGCAGGGGACCATGCCAGACCCACTGCCAAAACCCAAGGACTGAAGCACAGAGACTTGCCGGGCGCGGCTGTCAGCTGAGCAGGGCTGGAGTGGGAGCACCCCAGCTCCCCCGGGGCCGGGTCAGCATGAGCCTGTGCTGCGTTGGCCTCCCTCCCAGAGCACGCCCCGGACAGGGCGGCCAGCGCCTGCCCCACGAGCCGCTGGGACATTCCAGCCGAAGGGACCTGAGGGACCACCTGGCCCCAGGTCCTCACTGCAGAGGAAGACAGCGAGGCTGGGGGAGCGGGGTCTTAGCCAAGGTCGAGCCCAGTGCAGGGACTGGGTCAGCAACTAGAAGATCCTGACCCATGGCCTGGAGCCAGGCCGTGCAGGGGGGAGGCAGCTTCTAGCCAGTCACCCCCGCCACGGGAGGCGGGGAGAGGGTAGCTGCTTCTCCAGGGGCTGTGACAGGCGGGTCCCGCTTGCTTCCAGTCCCCACCATCTTCCTGAGCAAGAAACCCCGAGAAAAGGAGGTGGACTCCAAGAGCCAGGTCATCGAGGGCATCAGCCGCCTCATCTGCTCTGCCAAGCAGCAGCAGACCATGCTGAGAGGTGCGGGGAGCGGGGAGAAGCGGGCCTGGGGAGGGAGGCGGTGGCCCTCCCCAAGGGCCCTGGGAGGTGGCTGGAGCAGCCCTGGCCACTCTCCTCTGCCTGCCACCTAGTGTCCATCGATGGAGTCGAGTGGAGTGACATCAAGTTCTTCCAGCTGGCAGCGCAGTGGCCCACGCACGTCAAGCACTTTCCAGTGGGCCTCTTCAGTGGCAGCAAGGCCACCTGAGGCCTGTGTCCCGGCCATCTCCCTCCTGGCACAGCCACCAGCCTCACCGCCTGCGGGCAGGGGGAGGCCAGCAGGCCCGGGCCAAGCTCCCCCCTCCCTGGCACTGGGTCCTGCCTCTCCACGAGCCAGGCCTGAAGGACACTGCCACTGCCCAGGCCACCCCGTGCAGCCCCCACCCGCCTCTCTCGCTCCCTCCTGCTCCAGGCCGAGGGCGTGTTGGTTTTGCCTTCTGGTGCCCCTAGTCCCTGGGGCTGAGTCCTCCAGGCCTTCCTCACCCGATTCCAGCCTGTTCCTGGCGGCACCAGTTCCCTCCTGCAGACAGGAGACCTGGCAGCCCGGGCCTCGGCAGAAGAGCCGTCCTCCCCGAAGCCCTCCAGCCGCCGGATCTCGTCCTCTGAGGCCCCGCTGCCAGATGCCACCCTCTCCGCCGGCCTGACGCCGGGCCCAGGCCACTTCCCCCTCCTGCGGGGTCCTCCTCCTGCCCCGCAGCTTCCGTGGTGGGGGAAGAGGCACCCCGAGCCTGTGGGACCCTCCCCACTGCACACGGGCGGGAGGCAGCGCCCTCCCCCCAGGACCCCGTTACTGTGGCGACACGCGTGTTTCCGGGATGGAGGAGCAGCCCGGTCTTCCCCATGCACGACTTCCTGCCACCCTCCGGGTCCCTGCAGGTGTCGCGTGTGTCCCGAGTGTTTTTCTAGTTCTCTGCACGGCCATTCTCTTGGTGGTTCTGTGCTCCGCTCCCTGTCCTGTGGCTTCTTCCCTTGTGGCTGACGCTCCCCTGCCTCCCAGCCCGCCCCAGCCCCGCCAGCCTGGACTCCAGACCCCACCAGCACATCGCGTGGCCCAGCCACCGTCCTGTCATCTCCCTCCTCGCACCGTGTCCTGTCATCCGTGTGCCTGTCCTGCTGTTCTCCGCCCCCACCCCGCCCCGCCGGGCCCCCAGTCCCGCCTCGGTCCTCGGCCTGGACCACCTGGTGCGGGTGAGGCTGAGGATGCGGCCGTCCTCGTGCCCACCAGCAGCGCCAGAGCTTTTCCTGTCCTCCCACTCCCTCCCGGAAGTTTTTGCACAGAACTTCATTTTGAAAGTGTTTTTCTCATTCTCCACACCTCCCCAGACCGTCCTCCAGCCCTCCCCGTGGCCCAGCCCCGCTGTCCAGCGCGTCCCTGGGCCGGAGAGAGGAGACGGGGCGGGAGGGACTGAGGTGATGTTGGGTTTTTCATTCAATAAACCGGTGATTTCTTACCGACGCCTCGGGCTTCTGCGCCCTCACTGTGCCAGGAGCCGTCCGCACCCAAACTCGGCCTCAGCCAGGTGGGGTCCCGCGTCCTCAGTGACGGAGACAGGCGTGGCGGTGTCTCGCCCAGCAGGAGGCTGGCAGAGGCCAGAAACAGATGCCATTCCCACACCAAGATCCCACTGTGCCCAGGCCCACAATCCTCAGGTCCCAGCTCCCGGGGCAGTGGCGAGTCGAGGGTGGTTTCCTTCTCTGCCCTGCTCGGCCTACGTCCTGTCACAGTGTCTGGAAGTCGCTGACCTCTCAGCCAGAGGGGTCTTTGCCTCTTGAGGAAGAGGTGGGGCTGGGGCCCATCGTTAAGTTCACTCTCCTGCCTGCCCTTGACCTTAGAGATGGAAAACAGTCACAGCCAGTGTCCTGGGAGCTCCCAGGCGGAGGCCTGCACACAAGGCCTGGCTGGGGGGGAGCCCTGCGGCCAGACAGCCAAGTAGAGAGGCCTCCGGAAGCCAGTGGTACCCGTGTGAGCTGGGGGGGAGTGTTGCCACGGAGCAGAGTGGAAGTGGCCTGAGGCCTCCCCGGGAGCTGGGCGGCCAAGCAGGGCAGCGAAGGCCGGAGTCCCAGGGGAGGGGCGGGACAAGTAGGCTGGGACCCCCCAGCTCCTGGCCCTCAGGCGCCATCTCAGAAGCTAGCGAAGTGAGTGCGACGCCTGACTCCACACCCCCAGCCTCCCTCCTGGGGCAGCAAGTGCCCCACCCTGCTCTGTCCCCTCACTGCTGTCCCGCCTGTCCTCCATGGGGTCTTTCCCACCCGCTTGCAGACATGCAGAGCAGCTCCCGTGTTGAAGGCAAAAGACCCCCCGGGTTCCAGATTCCCTCCAGCTACCACACACGACCCCGCTACCCCGAGAGCGAAACCCCAGAAGACCCGTCTGTGTTCCCACCTCCTCTTCCTCCCACTCCACAATCCCACCAAACATCCCCTTACCAAGGCCACCAGTGACCCCGGCTGCCAGATGCTGTCAGCAACAGTGGATGCAAATAATCACCCGCTCCCTGAATCTCTTCCTCCACTTGGCCTGTGGACAAAGCTCTGTTCTCCTCCCACCAAGCTGGCCGCTCCTCCCAGCCTCCCAGCCTCGGAGCCCCCTCGGGCGCAGCCCCGGCCTCCTCTCCCCACACACAGCCGAGCGTGAAGTCTGCTCCTCCCATGGACGCGTCCCTCTGGTGAGGGGAAGCCCCCTTTAGCTGCTGAGGCCAAAATCTTTGGGATCCTCCTGGCTTCCCTTTCTCCCACACCCAGCACCCAACTGTGGCAGCTCCTGCCCTCCTCGCTGCTGCTGGCGTTTCTCCTCCCTCCTCTGGACGGTGCAGTAGCCTAATTACCTCTCCGCTTCCGCCCGACTCTGCGTTGTGGTCCATTCTCCACACACAGCCAGAGAGGGCTTTGTAAAATATTGACCAGATCATGTTAAATTGCTGATCCAAACTGTCCAATGCTTCCTATCTCGCTAAGAATATAATCCAAAGCCCTCGGTAACCTGTGAGGCCTAGCTGATCCGACCTCCCTCTAGTACCTGGTCTTACTTCCTCTTACTCTTCCCCTCCCCACAGCCCCTGGACATGCCTCAACTCGACAGCACAGCCTGCCTCAGGGCCTTTGCACAGGCTGTTGGGCCTGCCTGCACCTGCCCCTGGTTCATGCAATTGCTCCTCATTCCAGTCTCAGCGGAAGCCTCACCCCAGGAGGCCTGCCCTTATCTCACCCTGCTTTTTCTTATTAGTCCTTCTCACTCCTTGGCACAAATAACTTCTTTCTCCCGCCAGAATGTGAGCTCCAAGCAAAGAGGAGCTATTTTTCCCCTGCTGCGTCCTGGGCACCCAGCATATGCCTGGCCCCATCACAGGGGCACAGTCAATACTCGTTGACAATGAAGAGCCCTCTTGCTGCTGGAACGGGGTCCCTCATCCATGTGTGCTACTCAAGGCGCTGGAGCAAGAGGAGGGAGTCCTAGCCTGAGCGAGGGGAGGAGAGGCTTATGTGGGACAGTGCCCAGGATTCCAAGCAGGAGGCCACCTGGGGGAAGGTGCCGACTTTGACCTTGAGATGGCTCTACCCAATCACCAGGACCGCCCGTGGGGCCGCCAGAGTCGGTGTCTAAAGGCAAAGGGGTGGCGTTTTGGCGCGGAAGGTGGAAGACCCTGTCTAAGTGGCACACCACTCCAGAGGGGCTTCATTAAGTCAGCTTTTATTCTAGAATAGATTTACAGAAAGGTTGCAAAGACACTGCAGAGCGGCTGTGCACCCCGCCCGCTTCCCTTGTTGTGAACATGTCACACTCACGTGGTACGTTTGTCACGACTAATTAGCCAGCACGGTGCGTTATTAACTAAAGTCCATGTTTTATGCGGATGTCTTTCCTTTTTCTCTAAAGTCGTTTCTCTGTTCCAGAATCCCATGCAAGATATCACTCTACACTTAGCCATTCTGTCTCCTTGGGCTGCTTAGGGCTGTGACATTTTCTTAGACATTTTAATTTTTTTTTTTTTTTTTTTTTGAGACAGGATCTTGCTCTGTGGCCCGGCCTAGAGTGCAGTGGCCTCATCACAGCCTCAAGCTCCTGGGCTCATGCGATCCTCCCACCTCAGCCTCTGAGTCACTGGGATGACAGGCACGCGTGTCTGGGACCTTTTGATCTCCATCTTTGATGACCTTGACAGTTTTGAGGAGTACTGGTCAGGCACTTTGTAGAACGTCCCTCGACTGGGCTTTGTCTGACGTTCCTGTGGCTAGACTGAGGCTACGGGCTTCGGGGGGGAGACCTAGAAGGGACGTGCCATTCTCAGGGCGTCCTACCAAGGCACATGCCAGCAACGTGACACCGCTGGCGTTGGCCTGGGTCACCTGGTAGTGTGTGCCAGGGCTCCTCGCTGTAGCGTCACACCCCCTTCCATACTGTCCTCTTCCGGAAAAGTCCCACGCGCAGCCCACACTCGGGCAGGAGTGATCCCCGACAGGCATCCACTGAAAGTCTTCTATATGGGAGATTTCAGACTAATGTCTGAAATGACATCTTTCATCACCGCACCGCGGTGTCCCAGGACGGACGGAACGAAGAGCTCCCACTGTCACCTGCCGGGCACCTCCTCTCGGCCAGGCTGCTGCGGGGTCTTCCATGTTTCCCAGGGTGCGTTTCACCGAGTCCCCAGAACAGCCTTTGAAACCGATTCTGCTGGCGCCTCCTTCCCACGAAGGGGACGGCTACAGGCAGAGCCTCCTCCCAGCTCCAGACCCTCGCACCCAACCGCTGCGCCGACAGCCTGAACAGCCGCGGACACCCAAACCTCGCGTGGCTAGGCAGGACCCTGCGCTCCCGCGGTCCTCCCGTCTGGGCACAGGGCACCAGCATCCATCCTGTTCCTCAGGCCACAAACCCAGGAGTCATCCCGTGTCAGCCCCGCTCCCCGCCCGTCAGTGACGCCTGTCCATGCTGCCTCCTAACCCCACTCCCAAATGTAGCCCAGCGCCCCTGCCCCGCGCTGCGCCGATGCCCTGCGAATGCAGACCCGCGTCCGCCAGGCCGGCGCGGCTGCGCCCCCCGCTCCGCCTTCCCCTGCAGTTGCCTTCTGCCCCCCGTACCTGACCTCGCAGTCATGAGGCCCCTCTCCCACCGCACGGAGCAGCTCCTCTTCCTCTAGGACGCCACCCACACACCACCTCCTGGGAGAGGCTCTCCCAGCCACCCCTCCCAAGCCCAGCTGTCGGTCTCTGTCTGAACCCTCCCCCATGGAGTTCACCGTCACCCACAGCAAATGTCTTTGCGCCGCCACATTCGCACGAGGCTGCAGGAGGCCGGGCTGACGTGCTCCTGGGTGCGGCTCTAGCACCCGGCACTCCGCGGGTGGCAACCCTCGATCAGGGCTAAACAAATGAGTGTGCGCTTAAGTCGCTTGTCCGGTGCACACAGATCGGCTGAGGAGAGGCCAGGTTTCTAACTAGGTCATCTGACTCTGGGCCATCCCTCAAGGGCCTACTTGAGAGGACCCCAACCACCCAACCGTCCATACGTCGGACATCCATTAAGTTCCTGCCATGGGTCAGTTCCTGTCCTGGGTGTGCTGATGCCAGGACGAACACATGGTTGGGTCCTAACCTGTGTGGCCAGCCTGGGAGACAGAAAGACAGACCACTGCCACACGGCAGGCCAGGCTGCACGGTGCACATAGAAGGGGCATCTACTCCAGCCTGGGGGAAAGGTGTCCAAGATGCCCCAAAGGAAATGACGCCTGAGCAGCATCTTAAAGACGTCTGACAGGCTGGGTGCGCTGAGCACAGCAAACAGCGTGCGTCGAACCCAGGGATACAAGAGTGTGGCTGGCGGGACGGGGAGCGACGGGAGGGGAGGGAAGCAGAGTCTGGGGCGCTGAGAAGCCTGGTAGCTGTTGTCACTGCTCTGCAGAGCAAGCACTGCTGCGGTGTCCTGAGATGATGGGGCGCTGATGACGGGTCTTAGGCAGAGAAGCGAGACGATGGAATTTAGAAAGATCATTTTGCTACAACAGACGGGAGAAAGCAAGACCTGGCCTGCAAACCAGACGGGTCTGAAGGCTGTTGCAGCACTTCAGAAAAGATGTGACGAGGACATAGCCCAAAGGACGGCAGAAGGGTGGGAGAGGAATGGGTGAGCCTGAGAGTGCTTGGATTTATGAGGCAGAATTAACAGGTCTTGGTGGCTGCTCAGAAAATGGGGCTGAGAAGCGTTACAGCTCGTTTAGAATTTGTCTAGCAGGTTTGCCTCTCCTCACCGGAAGACCCTCCACGAAAAAGAGAAGAAAATGGGGTTGAGGCCGGACGCGGTGGCTCACACCTGTAATCCCAGCACTCTGGGAGGCCGAGGCGGGAGGATCACTTGAGGTCAGGAGTTTGAGACCAGCCTGAGCAAGAGCGAGACCCCGTCTCTACTAAAAACAGAAAAAATTAGCTGGGCTTAGTGGCGCATGCCTGTAGTCCCAGCTC